AAAAAAGGCTCCGCACTACTATTTCCTTATTCATTGCCAATCTCCTTGGCTCCATGTTGCCTTTGGTATATGACAGATTTGATAGGTGAAACAGATACTAGACGTGTCACAGGATGCCAGTGGTCCTCGCGGATCGACTAACCCACTCACTACAACGAATCTTAATAATGTCTAATGTTAATTCATTTCTGCTCTGTCACTTGACCGGCGTGGTTTGCTGCCTCTTGTAGGATTCACCTCCGTGCTATGTATTGTCAGCAGCTTTTTACACACCCCTGCCTACCTGAATTAATCTGTACATTTTTTAAGATGATTTTATTTGCAGATAATATTTTTATTACAGAGTTGTTAAAAGCGAGATCGCCGCGGCTGCTGTTAGCCTCCTTTCCGCTTTCATCAAACAACGTCCTCCTGGGGATCACTGTAGTGCCAGCCGCTCCTCATTAGCCGCAGTGGATGACCTGTATGATCGGACCGGCTACCTGAAAACGTTGAGTAGCTATGCCAATCTTATATCCCAGCTCGGCCTTCCGACGGAAAAGAAGATGCGTGAACTAGAATACCAGTTCGCTCTTAGTGTTTGTCGTCGTCAGCTATCCTAATTTTCCATGTACACTGCACTTATTTTCTTTCTGAAGAGTTCTGAAACCGTTTTTCTCGGGCGAATTTCTTTCTGTCAACTGGCGTTTTTATACTATGTATATCAATTTTTTGTAATGAAGTATATATCGTCGCAAAATATGTCGTTCTATTCATTTTTAACTGGTGTTCGCTGGGCACGGTTGCGTACAGTCTCAGACCCCTACATGCACATTCGCTAATAGAACGCACGCTAACAAGAAGAGTATTCAAAGTGGGTTGTCATGGGCTTTGAGCAGTTCTGATAACTGCAAAACGCTTAGAATTCGTTGCTCCAAATGCCTTTAAAGTGACTAACGATAACAGAAGCCTCCGGATCCGCAATCTGCATAGCAAAATGCATTTGGTGCTATTGATTTTATCCCAAACACGGACTGGACTGCCAAACTTTGGATGCCTCCAGCAATAAACCAACTGTTGACTTAAATCTACAATTTTCACTGTCTACAGGATAGAAATGCTCGACGATATAGGTAGAAAATGTCATTATTCCAATATATGCGTTCGAATCTGACTAAGTTTAGTTACAAATCGGATGTATAATGCATGTCCCACTAAGAAGAGCGCCTCAAGCTACGGCAGTTAGCGGATATCTTGGACTTGCCTAGTGGTTCGATCACTAGAAACTTAACGTGCGTCTTGTCTCTGTGGCTTGTTTTTATGTCCTTAGGACGGGCCACAGTCAAATTATTGACTGGTCCATCACATCGTAGGCTGGCGACCCGCTTGGAGACCTGTAGGTATAAGTTTAATGCATAAGACAAAATTAAAAATTCGTTATGTAAAAGACAATTTTGGAATTGAAAAAACCTTCTGGAAGTGGAGAGACACATCCGCATTGTCAACTACGGCCAGGACTACTTGAGTGCCTCTCGGAAGTTCCAGAGAGTCCAAAAATGCCTGGTTCGTTATAAAATATCTGTTATTCCCGCGAACTACCACAACAACAAATCGTGGTTGTCCCAACCGACGCTTAGCAAACTGCTCGAGTTCCTGTGTACTGTGATTTTCATAAGCATCATACGTTATCGGCTGTGGATAAAAAGCGTTGAAATAGCCGTGTTGAACAATGTCCAATCGTTTCTGTACCACAGCTTGGTCCTGCAAATTTGCATCCGACATGAGATGCTGAAGGCCAGACGGGGAGGCAATGAGAATATCAGGACCGCTGTCAAGTAGGGATGTTGAAAATGACTGTGGTTCGGCTGAGGAGAGCGGGCCCAGATTCAAAATATTTGTTAAAGGAGCTGTAGGACGGGGTTCAGTGGTAGTCCGGTGTCTTCGTCGTAAAATGTACCCCAGTCGCGTAAGACGGCAGTATGCTACATAGCAAGCAAATGTGTAACTATCAAGCAGTGTGTTTTGGAGTTGTTGTAAACTCAGCGGAAGTCCGAGATCGTAGACCTGGAGGGAACCAGCTTCTGTTAGGTAGATTGCCTCTTCGGGATAGAGAAAACGAGCTTTTCCTCTGGAGAAGCCGAACTTATGGAAGAACTTGCCCTTAAGGACGGTGATTTCTACTAGTTTCTCGTCTTTGACTAATACGCCTTGAGCGGGACGACAACTGGACAAGGCAGCTTCCTGGTTTATCTGTGAAAAGAAGTGGTCATAGATCTCTTCTTTTATTGCTTCGTTAAGGCTCCCGCGATTTAACTTCTTGAACAGAGGTGCATTGGCTTTGTTTCGCCCAGGGAGACTCGCGTTTAACAGTGTTTTCCCCACCAAAAATTCATCCTGGAACGAAAAACATATCTAAGTAAATTGTCAGAGAATAAGGATAGTTTGTTGAAGTGAATACATCTTGACTGGCGTTCGCATATTGTGGATCACGACATTTGGCCCGGCGACAGCTATTCCGTAAAAGTGTCGTACGGTCGTTATAAGTGAAATAAGAGGTCAGAGGGCTGTCATTGTTCCGCAGATAAAATTGAAATAGGACCAAGGCACTGCGTTAGGACAGTGGAAAGACCGTGTTAGTGGGAAGGTGCAAGATGTGTGCCGCGTGCCCCTTGATAAGGCTAGAGTGCCCTGGGGTTTGTAAAGGTGCTTAGTACTAATAATCCTCGGGAACGCATGAGTTAAGCTACTGAACGTAAATATAAATTTAGATATGAATGAGAGAGAATATTCGCATTCCAGGTATTTCTATTGGTAAAGAAGACAAGTGATCGAGCACTGGAACGGGATGTATTTTTTCCGGGGCTTTCGAGCTCTTGCAGGAGCTCATCGTCAGAGGTGGAGAAACAGCAACAGCGGGTACCTGTTAACCTGGCTGACGGGCGTCAATAGACCAGGTTGCCGTGACTGCCAGAACAGCACGCCTGTATATCATATATATCCGGGTATAGGGCCTATAAACGTATATAGGACTTATACCCGGATGTATATGACATACGAATAGAAGCAAAAATTTACATCCCAGGTATTTGTCTAGAAGAAGTCCTTTCGATCACCGGAATAGTAATTTTGCTCATGTGAGCTTTCGGGCTCTTGCTGGAGTCCATCGTCAGAGATAAACCGTCAACGA